AAAATAAAATGTATAGTCTGCTTTTCCTCGTTAATTATTGTGTTGGATGGAATAACACACTCACAATCTTGGCTATCTTCTCTTCTCTTCATCCCCAAGGAGTTTTGCAAAAAAGTGGGAGAAACAGGGACGGTCCTTTCCCCATCCTTTGTACCTCTATTTGTGCAGGCTTTTGTGGGTGTGCATATACACACAGCACTGCAGACCCAGCTTCAACTGTCCAGAAGTGAGATAAAGGAAATGAAAAGGAGAAGGTTGGCTTTACCATGCGTTGTCTGGATTTTGGAAACAAAAGCGGAAACAGCAGCAGTGAATACCACAATCTCTCAATATATTTGGCCAGTCTGGTGAGCTCCAAAGATCAGCAAAATTGCACCGAAAGCAGAGGTTATTTGAACCTATTTTGGTGCTGTGGGAGTAGTGTTCATCCCCTGCCATAACTTCTTCAAAGTTTGGAATAAAATCCAGAGCGGATCCACTTGTACTCAAGATGCAGAAGGTGCCAGTTGGCACTGAGTCATATAGTCATATTTAGCAATCAGATAGGCTGCATCTGCACTGCAGAAATAATCCGGTTTGACACCGCTTTAACTGTCCTGGCTCACTGCTATGGAATTCTGGGAACTGTAGTTTAGTGAGACTTTTAGCCTTCTCTGTCAGAGAGGTCTGGCACCATAACAAACTACAATTCCTAGAATTCCATATCACTGAGCCATGGCAGTTAAAGTGGTCTCAAACTGGATTATTTCTGCAGTGCAGATGCAGCCTAATAGTCTCCCTGGATTTTCTGCAATGAACATTGTTATTACCCAACAAAGCAGGATTCAAAGGGTGACTCCTGTGTAAAGGTATGGATTGAATCTTCCCCTTCCCAGTAGGATCAAGCAAAAGTAATCTGCTGAATGCTTATGTGTTTTTCCTCATTGAAAACATTTGGCATCTTGACCATACTCTGGTGTACATCTATGAAATGTTGGAGGGTATGACTGTCCCTTTTAATTTTTCATCCCCCCCACCCCCAGTATTTTAAAGTTTTAGAAAAACAAACATATTTCACAAAAATATTTATTGCATAAAGTAGTACTTTTCGTCCCTTTGTGGGAGAGTTACAATTAACAAAATACAGACTGAAACAAACCCCCTGCACAAAGAATTCAAATTGCTGGAAAACAAATCACTATATAAACTACAAGGCTAATGATCCCTAAAACTTTGTCCAACTTTTAGAAATACATTTTAACTTGAGCTGCCCACTGATTTGGCATCTTTTATTTTATCATCTGCCTTTTAAAACTGAATTATATCTCTCATGCATTTTACTTCAGAGTGGTAACTTTTGGAGCTGTTAAAGTCAGCAATGCTCAAAGTAATGTGTACTTTAAATAATAGGTGCATCTTTTAAAAAAAGGGGCCATTTTTAATATAGCCTTATTAATATGGATGTATGAAAATTGGCTTAAAACAGCAACTGTGCTGTTCATAGGCAATTCCTTGCGTAAAAATGGTTCCCAAGTGATTAATCAGCTCTGCCGACCAAACCTTGGAGCTTAAAAAAAATAATAAAATTCAATTTCTTTACACTGTAATGTACCTGTTTCTGTCTCTTTTTAATCGTCACCTTGGATTTTAAAAACTCTTCCTGGCCTTTTGGCTAAGATCAAGTGTAGGATTTTTAAAACTCTGGCTGAGATTCTGCATCACAGTCTACCTTTCATAACTTTATGAATCGGCATTGCAGAAATGCAATGAAACCCTGTCAATGACTTGCAAAGATGTGCATCTGGGCAGCGGTGAGAGTGTTCTGGTATGCATTGGGTCCTCCTAATGACCACCAGGCACCTCTGGTGCATTGCAGGCACTTTTGGTACATATTGGGCACTTCTGATACACACTTGGCACTTCTGATGCGCATTGGGCATGCCTGACACACATTGGAAACTTCTCAGGCTCAGTGTGCATTTTGGATGCACATCACAATGCAGGGCATCACAAGACGGGGCGATGTTCTTGCAGAAAGCAGCGGCTTGTGGCCTGAGCAAAGGGGAGCTGTGGCTCCAAATGGTAGGGGATTCCCCCCCCCCCCATTTAACCATCAATGGACTATGCTTCCAGATATGATTCACCTTGAACATTTTTCAGGGTCTGCAGATGGAAAAGACAAACCCATTGGGAACTGTATGGGAGCTGTCCAAAGTCCTGCACCAAAGCTCCCTCCTTGGATAGCTCTTGTAGCATTCAGACTAAGCCCACTGCATTTTATTTTTCTAACCCAAACAGCTATGGGTTGCTATGTAGAGAGATCTTGTAGCACCTTTGAGACTCAGTGAAAGGAAGAAGTTGGAAGCATGAACTTTCGGAGACTTATAAATCTACTCCCTCAGATGCACTTAAGTCTAGGAAAGCTCATGCTGCCAACTTCTTTCTTTCAATGAGTCTCAAAGGTGCTACAAGTTAGTCTCTTTATATACTGATTCTACAGACTAACACGGCTACAGGTTGAGTCTGCCTTATTCTTGGGACCTGAGGTGTTTTGGATTTTGGATTATTATTATTATTATTTTGGATTTTGGAATACCTGTATTTGCATATATGTACATAATGAA